TGTAGCTGAATGTGGACTGTTGGCCATGTGATGCTGAATGGTCAATTTTCCTTCATTTCCCTTAGGAGCACACTCCTGTGTTTTCTGGTGTTACCAGAGACAGGGTTGCCAAAATAACTAATCCTGAGGTAATTATGTGTTTGCCAAAAGGGATGTCTTGGAGACACATGCAAAATTTTCTTTTGACAGATTCTTTTGGGGAATTTTTCTTCTGAGAGATACCTGAGGAAGCATCAACAAGCCATTCTTCTGGGAATTTCTGAATGTCCTCTGAATGAAAAGGGACAAACTCCTTCTGCTGAGCCAGCTGCTGAATGTCCATTTACTCCAAACAGTGATTTAGCAGCAAGAGCACAAAGTCTGCCTGGAGGTTGTTCCCTTCCTTGCAACAAACGACAGTCCATGGTTTTAGCAGCTTGTAGAAAACATTGCAAGGAGTTTATCCCATCCCCTATATAAAATACTGGAGTGGAGAAGGTTTTTGGATGCCTCTCTCTCTAAACCGATTGCTATGCCCAAGAATTAATAAAATCCATATTGAAGTGACAGCTGGTGGACAGAGCTGGCTTCTTCCTGCATCACTTGTCTCTCTAGTGGCTCATGTTCTGGGCTCAATGCACATTTATCCTTTTATTACGGCATTTATTGACTTCTATTTATTTATTTATTAAACCTCTGTTTTCTTAAGAATCATAACTGCACAGTTCAAAATCTAAGTTTGGTCATATCAGCACTAGCTATTAACACGGTTCTTTCCTCTTACTCTTTAATTACTGCCATTCCAAAGGCATTCAGTGAAGGAAATAAAAAGGCAGACACACGAGAATTTGTTTTCTCAAAACTTTCCGTGCATCATGAATCAGCTTCTGTACTGCTTTAACTATTTCCTCTCTTGACAACGCGAGTTCTTTTTCTTAATTCATGATTTCTTTCATTTTCACCAGCCCCTAATTTATATGTACATTTCTCAAGCTGACAGAAACTTCAGACTGACTCAGTAGAGCAGTGGAAAGAGCGTGTCACAACAGTAGGGATTCAAATGAACTTTAGAGCAGAAATTCGTTCTCTTGTTTATTTATGCTGGGTTTATATGGTAAGTGGCAAGAAGAGATAAAAAAACATTCTTTTCAAGGGAGAGAAACTTGTTTTCCAAGTGGGGTTCAATCATTGTCTTTGTCAGTCTAATAAATGATTTCTGTTTTGAGACTCATGGAAAAGAAAGACCAAGTCTGCCTTTGTTTTCTGGAACTCTCTAACCTGGGTCATCCAGGTAATTACAGCTTTACTTAAAAAACAGTGTGAGAGAGGAAAGCTCTGCCACTGCTTGTAAGCACAAAGAAAAGACACTTGAGAGAATTAAATTGCATGATGACTTTTATAAGGCATCTGAATCATTTTGCATTCCACCTTTAAAGCAGAAAATGATGAGTTTAATATCATATTGTAGGATGTAACTGGTAAGTCTCTCAGAAGGCAGCTGTGGCATCCAGAGCTATTTGAGCCTAGTTTTTCATTATTTTCTGAATAAAGGCTAAAGAAAATGTGACTGTGAGACTTTAAACCACATCTAAATGTATTCCCTCCCTCGCTTGCAGGTGCTGCAGCAAGAGAAGCCCTACTGGGGGTGGGTTGTGGGGTGTAGATCCTGGCAGATACCCCTGGGGGTATGAGAGCAGATAGCAATGGGTTAAGTGTGTTTGCATGTGCTCATGTAAATGCAAACGTGTTTATTTACTTCACTCCCCCACTAATGTTCTCCCATCTCCAAGAGCAACAATTTCAGAAGGTCACCTCTCTGCTGACTTTGCTGAAATTGCCATCAGTAAGGTGACATATATTTCATAAAATGTTAATTCTGTGATCCTACCTGAATTGCTGGAGATCAGTAATTATGTCAAAATCTTCCAGAGAACCTCGACTGAAATATAAAACTTTATTCCCTTGCTTAAATTTGTTGTGTGGCAGCGGGGGAAAACGTTCCTACATGTAAAGCACCTATGAATATGTATGACTAAAGAGGAAGAAGAAATACCATTATTGTTCAGGAGCAAAGCATAGTTCTTGTGAAGCTTGGGGGCAAACAAATTGTCTGCTGCTTGGTCTGCTTGAGGCATTAGGTGGCAAACTTTTAACGTCCCAGTGACTGGGCTGTTATTGTCCATTTTAAGGCCACAATAACTTTGTGTCGGGGAATAAAGAGGACTTTTTCCATTAGGAACTCATGTGTTATATCAACAATGAACTGAATTATTTTGCTCTGTAATGGAGAATGCTCAACATGTTTGCCTTTGATAAAGTAATGAATGTGAGGAGGAGAAATGTGAAACGTTGAAATGCTGTTCTGCTCACACACAGCAGTGTCTGGAATAGTACATCTAACTGGCAATTACTCTAGCAGTGTTTAAAAACATGCTGAATAGGATGGACAGTTGCAAGTTTGGACTAAATTTAGTGCAAAGGAATATGTGAAATAGAGATTTTTGTATGTTAAGTTGGAGGCTAAGGAACAAAGACCAGGAAAAAAAACAAACAGTAGAATAGTCTTTGTGGGCTAACATAAGAAATTACTTTTTAATTATGTTGAAATGGATGACTTGAAAAATGTTTTTTTAACACTTGTTTGGATGATGAGCTACCTGTTTAATGTCACAGCTTCCAAATAAGGGATCTAGAAGCTTAATCTTTAGGTAAAGATGACGTCTGTGAAGGACACTGCTCCCTCACAAATAACCATTGCAACCAGATTATTTGAAAATGGTTTTGATGAACAAAAAAATCTTTAAGGAAATTTCAGCACACAAGGAAACTTTCTTATATACTCTGTGACACTTCTACCAACAATTTTTTGGGTGGGGGTCCTAGGAGGGTTTAGAAAATACTCCAGTGACACTGTGTTAGACTGGATAACTTGATAATTGAATACTAAGCTGAGGCTCAGGTCACTTATGTCCTCCAGGTGAATTTCTTGCTGGATATGGAAATTTATCTTACTAATCTTACTAATCTCTGCCTCTGCATCTCTGTTTGTGGCCACCTTCTTTTGGAAACAACTTGAAAACTATGAATGAATAAGTACACTACATACCACAAACCCTGCAGTTTACACCAGCAATTTTATTTAAGTCACAAATTATTCTAGTTTATTGTTACATACCTCACTGTGCTTCTCAATTACTTTGTGTTAGTAACTATGTTCCTATAAAGAATTGTGTCTGGTTGCTCTAAAATAAGTATGACTTAGGTCACTGACTTCTGTGTGAAGGACATTCATGCTTTACAAATACCCAGTTTAACTAGATTATCTGCTCACTTCATCAAATCACTGTTTTGAGACTCTACAACATGTTCTGTTTTATGGTGATATGCCAGTGTGCATCTGATCTCATCAAATTCTGTTTGTGATGGGGAAATTATCTCATGAAAATAGTATTACTTAATCTCGGTTTTTAATTTCTGTATGCTTGGAGAGGAAGAAAATCCTGTGTGGTGTTTCATCCTGTCAATGTTAATCTTTCTCCTCAGTGCTGCATCTCCAAATAGCAGATGTGTGCTTTATTGCAGGGCTGGTCCTCTATAGCACAGCAAAATGTTTTGGCAGGAGCAAACAATTTATTGTATTAGAGTCAAACATAATCAAATGTTCCCTTTCCTGTGAAGCATGGTCAGATATTGATATTGCATTAGCTAACATTTTAACATAGCAGAGGCTTAATAAGATATATTATTACTCTCTCTAGGCTGTTTAATTAAACTAAACAGTCTCTGTGTATTATACATTGGTTTTCTGACAGGGGAATGTAAATCTGTATTATATTAGTGTCACATACCAACTGATGCTCTTCCCCCATCAGAGGCTCTAGAAGAGCTGACACTGCTGCCACATGAACTGCACAATCCAACCTGCCCTCCTGTTACACTGGACTGTCCCATAGCTCAGGGTGCTCCAGCAGCCCTGGCAAGCTTTGTGTGCAGAGACTTGTGGCTGCACAGCTCCCTGATGTATTTCAGCACAGGGAGAAGCATCATCAGCATCCTGCTGCCAACAGAGCTCTTCTCCATCCCTCCCTCTGCTGAGGCAGGGACATCTGAGCTCTGGGACCAGGACGACTCCATTGGCCCCATGCTGGCCAGGGGACAGGGATGGGTTTGTCACATCATTTGTTCAGGTCCAGAAGTTGTAAGAATTTGGGGAAACTGGGTAATTCAGTGGCATCTGCTCTGGTATCACTCTTTCGTGCTGGACAGTGCCATCCACTGCTGCTGATGGCACTGTATGTAGTGCCCCAGGTGAACATTCCCTCTTTGCCACTGATGCTGTGGGAAGGGGATGGGCAGAGCAGACACTTCTATGCTAGGGGCTCCTGCTGTCTTCCTTTAAAGCAAGAGCTGGTTCAGAATCCTGTAGGGAGCTACAAGCAGAGAGGCATTACAGGCTCTTGCTTTGAAGAGTTGTTCTGTTGAGCTACTACTAGAAAGCAGAGGAAGACAAAACATTTGGAGTATTTTGCCTCATACACAGAAATAAGCTGCACAGGAACTACTGGAGTATTTTTTACACATTTTTTAGCCTGTTTCACCTGGCAGAAGGGAACATCTGCATAATTCAATGCAGAACTGTGCAGAGATGGCCAAGCTATGCCCAAATAATTGTGCTCTAGAACTGGAAGATGCATATTTTTTATCACTGGCAGTAAGCTCTGTATCACAATGAAGGATGTTTTGGCTCTGTTTCGCACAGTGTCCTGTGCAAAATGTTCCAATAGTCTCAAAAAAAGGTAAAGAAATGTCTGTCATGGTTCTTTGTTGTATTTCACATGCCCCCACAGAGAGGCAGGAATGGTTGGGTGCATCACAGTGAGATCTTTAGCGTGGCTGTGATGCTGGCACCATGGATGCATTCAAGAATGGCAGGACTGGATTTATGTGAGGCTTCACCTGCATAACTCAGTTATGATTTATCTCGTGCTGAATGTTTTCTTGTTGTTGTTTTCCCTCAACAGAAGATTAACCTGGAGTTCTATATCGACATCCATGCCCACTCCACCATGATGAATGGCTTCATGTATGGGAACATCTTTGAAGATGAGGAAAGATTTCAGCGACAGGCTGTTTTTCCCAAGTTACTCTGTCAGAATGCTGAAGACTTCTCTTATGTAAGTCATGCTTTTTTTAATTATTATTTCTTAGTTTTTCTTTATTTTTTTTTGGCCCTTATGATAAATCTCTGGCTTTATTTGATTGAGCAGATTTTATTTCAGTATGGATAAAAGGCTACATAAAAATTTTACTATTAGCTACCATCTTCCCTCTTATACTTACCTTATCTGGCAGTGGTAACTTGTGATCTTATGTGTCATCAGACCCCTTAACAAAAGCAGGTTTTTCATCTTCTGTTTAATAACCTTTAGTTCTGAATTACTGGCACACACTGTTTTTCTCAGATCTTTTGTCTTTTGATCAACTGGATCAACTTTTTTGTTCCATTGTTTATATTAATTTGTCAAAGATTTTACTTGTACACTCTAAATAATAATATGCTAGCAAATAGAAATAAAATTAATTAGCTTGAGAGAAAAGGTAAGATAACATTTGTTGAAAGTTGTGGCAATGTATGCTTTTGAAATTCTTCGGTATTACCATAGAAAAGTGTTCTGCAAGAGGATTTACAATTGCCCAGTACTTACAACTTGGAGAGTGGGAAGGGGGAACCTTGGTTCAAGGAACAGCTTGTTCTTACCCAAGGAGACCTCAGTGATTGAGTTTCTGGTCTGCACCTGGTTGTTTCAAAAACACATTAGGGGTAAGGGGCTTTCACAGATCATAACAATGAAAACCTGCAATTAATAGGAGCTGAAAGATTCTGTGCTCAAGTGTGGGATTTCTCTCTGCTACTGAGGGAGTTTAAGTGTTCCTTTTAGGCACCAGCCTTGGGCTGACAAAGAGAAAATCTTTGAGAAGGTGTTGTAGGAAATAGACGCCAATAGCTAAATAAACAGCACAGTCTCTCCCTTTTGACTCTTGAGCCCAGAGTTCCACCTGGGTGCTACTGGCACTGGGTGCATCCAGCTTCCCCCTGATATCCTACTGGTCTTTCGAGGCTGGAAGCTTTTCCCCTGCCATCCATCCAGGCCATTCTTCCCAGGGCAGCTGAGCAGATAGAAGTGTTGGAAAAAGGGACAGCCACCAAGTGTCTGACAGGTGTGAAGTGACAACTGATGTGTCCCCGAGTAGGAAGGTCTGTTTTCTTGTTTCCAGCTCCATCCACGTGGGTTATGTGACTCGTTGGAAATATCAGGTGAAGAGAGGAAAGGAACCCAAACTGGGGTTGGAAAATGTGCCAAAGACTTAAAATAGTGTATGTAAATATGCCCTACTGCCTGCTCAAAGGGAAGGGGGGAAGTGCATTGTTAACATTACCAGGCTGGTGTTTGAAAGTGTGGGAATGGACCACTGTTGTTACTAATGAATTTTCCAAAGCTTCAGGAGGTCTCATTTACATTGTATGCTGCTGCGGCCATTTGTTGGGATTATAATACTTCAACAGCAGCACTTCAAGTGAAAACTGGCGGCTGCATGAAGTGTTGTCCATAATTGACTAGCTCCATGTCTTCACACAGCACAGAGACAATGTTCCATTATGTTATCCATTGACAGTATCATTGAAAAGATTACTCTCCTTAAAGCATCTGTCAACCTTGATTGATTTACAAGGGACAAAGCACTGAAAAGGTTTGAAGTGCGGGTACAATTTTTGCCACCGTTTAGCATACATAATGGTTCTCCTTTGATGTCAAAAGCTCATCTTCTATTAATAATGCAGAGAGCTTTTGAATGCAGGCTACTTGTATGGAGTTCCACACTAATAACCTACTTGCTGTGAAATGGGATTCACTTTGGAGAAGCAGTCATTTGGGTTTTACATGTTCGGAATGAATCCCAACTCAAAGGGATTTCTTTCAGGGCTCTGCATGATTGCAGCTGAGCCCAGCACGGGTAAGGGAAGGCAGGCAAATCCTAGTCTGCTCCTCCAGCCGAGAATCTGGCAGGGATCACGCAGCCAGATGCAAAGGAGCATGAACAACAAGCCTAAGACGATGCGATCAAATGCCTTGTGCCGTTTTGTCTGGCAACCTTCTATTAATATACTTTAGAGTGCATTTCATGCCTGGGCTGCTTTCTTCACCTGTCATTTCCAATAGGCCTTTTTATTTAAATGACAGTATCCAAGGGAGATTGGTGATTAGAGCAGGGGATGGATAGGGGATTTGTACCCACATGCCTGTTATAGGACCAAAGGAGAGTCACCCAGTGTCTCTGTGCCCTGTCTGCTGGGCAAAGCACGTGACCCCACAGCTCTCTGGAAGGCTGACTTGGTTCACAGGCAAGAGTTGTGAAAGAGACCAGAAATTCCTCATTTGTACATGACTTCAGAAAACAGAGGCCTGCCTTTGGTTTAGCTGTCAGCATGTGAAAAGGAAAGTGAAAGAAGGGCTAGGATGTTTTGCTCCCAAATAAATACCTGAGACATTCCTGAGCAGCTGCCTGGGCAAAAGGGACAAAATCTGTAAGGAAAACATTTTATATTTTCAGTGTTTAAGAAGGATATTTTTAAACACTGGGATGTAAATATAATCCATGTGAAAGCTCACATGAAAGCTGACATGCTCTTTTGAAAGGCTGACTCATTGCATTTTGGGAGCAGCTGTTGGCACCATGTCTGAGAGCATTACACATCAGCCGTGGCTTGGAGTAGTTGCAGTTTTTGTAGGGATGTTCTTCATTTGACCTTTCTTGTTTGGGAGAGTGGATTAGTCATAAGGACCAGACACAAGCATTTGAGCATTTCAAGAACCTGCTAGTCTTAGGGGTGGCTAATTTTGACCTTTGTGACAGTATGAGAGGCGACCATCTGTTCTCTCTGATTCATTTAAAAGAAACAACTGCAGCCATTCTTGGGTGGCTTTATCACTTTGCAAAGACTGCTTTTCTTTTCAGTCAAAGACCAGCCAGAGGTACTTGGCCTGATCTGAGCAGTTTGGGTTTTTTTTCCCTTTGGACTCTGAACTGGTGGCATGGGTGATACATTTGAGTTCTCATTTTGTATTCAATCTTGTATTCAACCTCCCAGGAGAGAACCTTCCTTGGAAACACTGTTTGACCTTTGTGTGCCAGTGTTACCCAAAGACCCTGATAAAAACTTAGAGTCCAATTATGCTGAGGAAGTCCACAACCCTAAAAGCTTCCAGTCATGTTGAGAAAGAGACAGAAAGTGGGTAAGAAGTTGGAGAATAGAACTTGGATGTCCCAAGTGCCAGTCTTGTTTCTGTCAGTAGTTCTCTGTTTTATATCGTGCTCACACTCTAGAGTGAAGTCTCTAGGCAGCAACCCACCCGGTTTCCTTTGGGGAAGCATGTTGTTAACTGCAGTGCCATAACACTGTGACCTAAAACATGTTTTAGAGACTATCATTGTCTCAGCAATATGAGAAGATGCAGATACGGAATGATTTGCACTAGTACTTTTTGTGGTGGTGTTTTGTTTGGTTGGCTGTTTTTAGTTTGGACATCAAACACAGAGCAATGAAGAAAAATACTTTAATCCCTGTATCTTCTGCTGCCTTCTCTTGATCCACAAACTCCAGGTCTGCTATTCTCATTTTCACAGCACCCCCCCCAAACCAAGCTTTTACAGGCAAGGTGTGTTTGTTCCAGCAAACCTTCTCCATTCTATGGCAGCCCCTCTGGGCTGTTATGATTTACCCTGGCTGGATACCTCCCCCTGAAATCAGTGGTGATGCAAGTGCCTGAGGCAGTAATATCAACATTGAATGATCAAAACCCAATAATCTGTTCTGAAATAACAAAAATATAGCTTGTGTTGCGTATGGCTGGACAAGGAAGAGGAAGCAGTAGGAAAGGTGGAATTTATCCTGATGTAAAATCCATATTCACTTGCATCACCACTTCCTAAGTGCCTCTGTGCTGTTTTGGTAAAAAAAGACTCTTGTCCCAGAAAGGCAAAAGCTGCTGTGTTCAGGTAGGTTTTGTTAACATCATGCAAGCTTAACAGATCTACTCAGAAATCTCTTAAAACCTGAGCACAACAAATGATCCTGCCTCCTTTTTTTTTGTAGTCTTGTACCAAGGCATATCCAGGAAGACAAATACAGCTATTATATGCTTTAGCACCCCTCTGGGATGCATTTCTGCTTGCTGCTTCTTGGACGTGTTGCTCCATAAATTTATTTATTTATTTATTTATTCTGGAGGTTGGGTGAGCCAAGACAAGAAAATGTGTTTCTGGTGGCAAAGGGAACAGAGTGTAGAGCCAATCCTTCTCAGAGTTACAGGCTTTGGTCTCACAAGGACTCTGCCTTTTGGAGAGTCTCAGTGGAATGAAACTGTTCCATTATGTCGTGCTGCACCAGTTCACCCCCCCTTGAATACAGAGGATTGAATTTGTATTGAAAAGAAAAGGGTGGGGGGGAAGTGTTGGAACAAGTGGATTTTCTTTCAGTACCTTCTTGCCTTGTTGTTTGTGCATATAGGAGTTGATAGGCCCTTCTACATCCCCATGCAGGTAGAAACTCAGAATGTACACAGAAGGATCAAGTTTTCATAGCAATTTTATGGTGTGTTTTCAAAGACCATCATTACTCTCACCTAATGTCAACCCACTGGGAGAGGATGACAGCCTCCCAGGCTGCAAAGGAAAGCAAAGCAGCAAGCAAAGGAGCTGCTGTAGAATCTCCTGCAGGGCTCCACAAATTCCCTCAGATGGGACAAACTGTGCTGTGAAGGAAGGACAGGAAGGTAGTTAAGAACTGGACACTTGGCCCCCAGGCAGGATAACTTTTTGGGTATTACCTTTTTAACCACATGATATTTAAACGTATGTAGGATACAACTCTGGCTCAGAGAACTGTCGTGGAGCAGTGAGAGAGCCAAAAAGGAGTGTGAACAATGGGCTGCACTGGGTAGCTCTGGGAGCAGCATCCTGACCCACCTTAGGGAGGTTGTGACCCCCTGTTTTAGGCCTGCAAGTGAGAACTTCTCTTTGCCATGGAGCAAACCACTTTTTCTGCAAACTATTCAATGCAACTGGGTGCATGATGGCTGTATTTTCCTTTTTTCTTCTCATTGTCCTAGTTTTC